AGATACAGATATAGATATACTTTATGTATCTAGAGAGAGAGAGTGTGTATATGTGTGCATATTCATAGCTTTCATCATGCTGTTGAGTTGTGGTGTTAGCGAAGAATGCTGAAAATACCATGGACTACTGCTAAAAGAACTAACAAATCTGCCCTGGAAGAAGTGCAGCTGGAATGCTCCTTGGAAGTGAGAATGGCCAGACTTCATCTCACCTACTTTGGTCATATTGTCAGAAGTGATCATTCCCTGGAGAAGGATATCATGCCTGGTAAAGAGGAAGATTAAGGAAAAAGGGGAAAGTCCTCAACGAGATGGATTGACACAGTGGCTGCAGTGATGGGCTCAGGTATAGCAAGGATTGTGATGCTGGCACAGAACCAAGCAGTGTTTTGTTCTGTTGTACGTAGGTGCGACTCACTGCACCTAATAACAACAACATATATATCTATAAGGAGCTCTGGTGGCGTAGTGTCTAAGGCATTTGACTACTAACCAGAAGGCTAGCAGTTCAAACCCACCAGCCATGCCACAGAAAGAAGACTGGACAATCTACGTCCATAAAGATTTACCACCTCAGAAACCCAATGGTAGTTGCTATTAGTCAGAGTTGACTGGATGGCAATGAGTTTTTTTTCTTTTTTTCTTTTTTGGTTATATATATCTGTATCTATATCTATCTATCTATCTATAGTGTAATGTGTGTGTTTGTGTGTATATAAATAGACATGTAATGTATGGATGTATGTGTGTGTGTGTATATATATATATATATATATATATACATACATACATACACACACACAAACTAGCCAACCTAGTAAATTGCAGTCAACAGATATTAATGAATCACCAGCTGAGGCACTTTCTATGGCTGAATAGCAATCCTACCATATTCCTCGTAAGTGCCATTGACTCCATTTTTACACAAATTAAAGTATATGTGTGAATTTCAAAAAGAATGTTAGAATAATTAAAATGTTGTTGTTGTTGTTGTTGTTATGTGCCGTCGAGTCGGCCCCGACTCATAGTGACCCCTCCTTGGGTTTTCGAGGCAGTATCACTACGGAAGTAGGATTGCCCAACCTTCCTTCCAAGGAGTGGCTGGTGGGTTTGAACCGCCAGCCTTCTAGTTAGCAGGCAAGTGTCTTAGCCACTATGCTACCAGAGCTCCCATAATTAAAATAAGAAATTGTAATTTTAGTCCTGTATTCACACCCACCCATTTCCATTGAGTAGATTCTGACTCCTAGCAACCTCCACTGGGTTTCCAAGCTGTGAATCTTTATGGATGGAAGCAGATAGCCTGGTCTTCCTCCTGCAGAGCAGCTGGTTATCAATCAAATGCCTTACCCACAACACCACCAGACCTCATCATATTCATCACAGTGTACAACAAAACTCACTCTTTGGCTTCCAGACCTTTTCCAAGAAGTCTGGAAGCAAATACTTAAAATATGCATGTTCTACGAAGTAATAAAATATAATCAGTGATAAAATATGATAATAAAAAGCATACCATGATCAGCCAAAAGGATAATATTGACGCAATTGTGTAAGTTCCGCTGTTTTAGGCCTTCCATCAGCATTCCAAAAGTTTGATCTACCAACTGTAAAGCTTGAATTACCTAAGAAAAGAATGTAGAGTTAACAGTACTTCATGAATTATATAAATTAACAAAACCATTATCTAACTGAGTAAAAATTAAACACATTTCCTTCACTCGAATCACTCGTTTTTGAAACAGAACACAAGAGTCCAGCATCCATGATACCAAAATTACCAATACTAAATTCTCTAAATTTCTATAGAAAGTTAAGTCGTGTTCTCCACAAAGAAAAAGAAACTGGCCAGTCAACATATGAAAAAAAAATTCATCCTCAACAAACATGTGCAACTGCAAATGTGTACATGATTGTTATGTATTTGAGAAAAGGGAGTTCACAGGAACTTCTATAGAAGTCTAAACTGTTACACACCTTCTGGAGATCAAGTGACAATGTGTATCCTGAGAGTTAAAAATGTGCATACCTCATAAACTAATAATTCTCCTTCTGGGCATAAGTTCTAAGTAAATAATTAGAGGACAAATAAATGAAAACTAACAAACAAGGATTTGTTGTTGTTAAGTGCCATCTAGTCGTTTCTGACCCATAGCGACCCCATGCACAGCAGAACGAAACACTGCCCGATCCCGCGCCAGCCCCACAATCCCTGCTATACTTGAGCCCATCATCGCAGCCACGGT